CACAACAACAACATGAGAAAGACCAGGGAAACCGAGTTAACGATAAAAACCCTGAAAACCATAAATTTCACACCCGAGCCTCGACCCCCCGGGACGGTACCGGTCCGTGGCCCGGGGGTTGGGGACCGCTGCACTAAATCATATACAGTTGGTATAACGGTGGAATTCAGTGAATTAATCTAAGCGTCATCAGCTTAAATACAAATTAATCTCTGCTACACTTGAGTAACTCAACACTGAGTGCGACAGCCACTGTGTTTGTGTGATTTGAAATTATTTGCCACCTGAAGTCGTTACTCTCTTTATGCTTACTCTTTTCAGTAGCTGCAGATCCTTTTAGGTTCACCTTTCAGGTAGCGTCCTTGTGGAGAGCTAGCACTGGAGGCATTCTTAAAAAAGTCAAAAAAGATCACAAGAGACACACCTATGGTATCAAATGTAAATGAGATTTTCAGAAAATTTGACGGTCAGAGGTCAAGTTTTCTGAAAATCTTGTGAATACGATTACTCGAGGACAAAATTGTAAAATTGATACTGTAGGTGTGTCTACTCGGAGACTGGGAGGCAGCGCTGGCTGTTCCCAGTCCAGCTCACACCCTGTTTGATGGGCAGGATGAAACAAGATGAGCTGAAACTATTTTCTTACAGGTGAACGTTGAATCCATGCACAAATTAACTTCTTGTCCATGCTGGTGTTCAGTGCATCAAAGGCCTTTTTGTGTTACCTTAAGCAGCTTCTTTCTTTTGCAGACTGTACTGAACACCATGTGTGGTTATGGGATGCAGCAGCTGGAGGAGAAACTGGCCCGTCAACACATATTCACCATCGGCTGCCTGGATAAAATTGTCTGGTGGGCCAAACACAATCTGCTTCTGGTGGCTGGTCTGACCGCCGGCCTGCTGCTGCTCGAGGTAACACTAGTGAGCGTTTGGCTGCAACAAAGCCTCTGAAGTCACTGACAGCAGTTTCTGATCTTTGGTGTGTTTCCTTGAGCAGGTCTGCATGATAGCTTTGGCTGCTGTTCAGATCTGCTGGATAAAAAACGT